ACCCACATGTACATGATTCCTGTTCTTTGACAGAAAACAAAAGAAAACATTGTATACTACCTAATATTGAGTTAATTCTAAAATTATTTTTTAACTCCAGGCATAGTCTTTGAGTAGAAAAGGAATCAACTGCTATTAGTGTTTCTTTCAAGAAAAAATTACCTTTAATGGAAAATAATAAGAACTCTTCACCTGAGTGCCTAACTATGTTCTAGGCAGTATTCTAAGAGCTTAACATATATTGATTCACTCAATACTATAATGCTGTGAGAAGATGCTATACTTACCACCATTTACAGCCGAGGTCCCCCAGCTTGTAGGTGGTGAAGCCAGAATTGAACTCAGTTGCTACTCTATATTACTTCTCTGAAAAATAATGAAAGGAAATTTTGATCAGCATTTTTTACTTATGGCAGTAGTACCTAATTTGAATTGAGGAATTCAATGTAAAATTAACCAAAGAAGGTAAAAAACGTTTTGCCAATGATTTCGACAGAATTGCAGCTGATAAAATTTGACTCCTTCAACCACCAACTATTTTTTCTAGTGTGATGCCTGTCTAGCTCAGCTGATTTGTTTGCATGGTTCTGTTGACTGAGCACAGAGCATAGAATTGTAAGTGAATCGAAACTTCTTTCTTCGTCAGTGAGAGAATTGAGGTCAGTTACAACGATGCATTTATCAAATTTGTAAACGTATGAAATCTAATTTGTAGTTATAATTGCTTCAGCTCTATAAAGAGAAGCGAAGCCCTGTTTTGATAATCCCTTTAGTGTGCAGCTACCAAATTGTTAACAGGAGTTACCTGTAAGGACCAAAGGCGGTAGTCATACCTGCCTTATATATTTTTATTGGAGAAAATGTAGGATGGTATTAATGAATGACTTTTACTTTGTAAGTTATTTGTATTTTTCATTTCAAAAAGTCTGTTTTAAAAGACCTTCATGATGGGATCTAATCCTGACCTCCAGTCACTAACTGTTAAAGGCGAATCATTGACCCTGAGCAAGAGTTGGAAGAATGATGCAAGCAGGACACTCTAGTTCTGTTCCTCTGGAGCTGTGCCATAGCCTTTTCTATCTTTCAACAGCCTTGGGTTTTGTTTGGTTGGTTTTTATTTTTGCTATTAAGCAAAATGACTACTTTTTTAGTGTTTAGAATTAATGTAGTGTTTTAAATGTGCCTGTAAATGCCGTTCTTTTAAAACATATTTTAACAACTGGTAATTTAGGACTATGTAAATTGTATTAACTTTTTGATGAAATAAGCAGGGTTTTCTGTGAATTTCTAACTTAAAAGTGCTGTGTGCTAACTAAAATAACATAGTTATAGTAACTTTTCTTTACCAGCAAGCACACACAGATCTTAGCCCACAAGCACTGAGTTCCTGCTCTCCCCTAGGCTTATGAGAAATGTGCCAGCCATTCATTCACACAGTTTCAGCATTACTACAGAGCACTGTGGGGGACCACTAGACCATCGCAATTTTTAACTAGTTGCAGTGAGATATGGCAAAGTTAAAGACAGAAGTATTGTAGTACAAAAGATGCTAAAATCATCCAAAACTTTACATTCTTGTCTTCTGTAAAGTGGTATTTTTAGGAAAAGTGCGTTACCAATACAAACTGTAGCTTCCAAGTCTAACATCCCCGTGCACCCCTATACCTTTTTTTTACCCTCAAAGCCTTTTATTAGGACATAATCCAGACATCATATCCTTCAATAGTTCAGTCATATCAAACAATGCTGTACAATTGCCACCACAATCATTTTCAAACCATTTTCTTCTTAGACACCTTGGTAACAGCTCCTTGACATGCCCTCCTTTCCCTGCCACATCCCCTAGGAACCCTTACTCTAGTTATTGTCTGTCTCTATAGATTAATTCAACCTGGATTTCATAAACTGAAAAACATAGGCTTTTTTTTTTAAATCATCTTATTGGGGGCTTGTACAACTCTTATCACAATCCATACACCCATCCATTGTGTCAAGCACTTTTGTACATTTGTTTCCCTCATCATTCTCAAAACATTTGC